AGCAACAGCAGCAGCAGCGGGAGTAGAATAATGGTGGTAGTAGTAGTCTTTGTCGTCGTCGCAACGTCGTAATAGTAGTAGTGGTAGTAGTAGTAATAGTAGTAGCAGCAGCAGCAGCAGTAGCAGTAGTAGTACTAACGATTATTAGTCGTACTTTCAGTTCTGCTGCACTACCACCTTTGCTATACTGCACCTGCCACTGCTGTTGCTACTGCTGCTGCTACACCTCCTTAGACAGAAGAGTTTAGGGTTTCAGGTTTTGCGGGATCCGGAGGTTCAATGTCTGCATGTATATACTGTAGTGCATTCTATTGCAACACTCTACTCTACTTTCCACACGCGTTACCTGGTTTCGCTAGCCTTAGTATTGTTGCCGTTGGCAGTCTTACCACTTTTGCTCAGCACTTTATCATAACTGTTGCTCTTCGTAGGTGGGTGTTGTTGCGTCTCTTTAGTTATGAGTTAGAACCGCCATTACTCACCAGCAGCCGCAGGAGTTTTAAGTTGATTTGTTGGCATCACTTCTTCGCCCTAAACCCCAAACCTGAAACCCTAAACTCTAAACCCTCCTTTCGAACCTTTTAAACCCAAACCCTGGACCCTAAACCGCTGCTCGGTATTCACAAGGCAAAGAAAGACCTTAACCTTCGCAAAACCTACTTTCTTGCAGGCGTGCCCATGAATTCCATATCGGGGTTCATCATAAGAAATCCCTAAACCCTAAACGCTAAACCCTAAACCCTAAACCCCTAAACCCTAAACCCTAAACCGGTTATGGTCGACTTTCTGTAGATTTTTCTTTATCGCAGGGTTTTGGATGCTGGGCTGGGGCCCGAGGTTTGTTTCTGCTTCTGCTGTAATGTAAGGATTAGGGTTCAAGGATTAGGGTTTAGGGTAATATACGGATTTGGGGTTTAGGGTAATGTAAGGATGAGGGTTTCGGGTTCAGGGATTAGAGTTTAGGGATTAGGGTTTGGGGTTTAGGGATTAGGGATTAGGGATTAGGGATGCGGGTTTAGGGTTTGGTGTTTATGGTTTGGAGTTTAGGGTTCAGGGATTCGGGTTTAGGAATTGGGGTTCAGGGATCAGGGATTAGGGATGTGGGTTTGGGGTTTAGGGATGAGGGATGAGGGTTTAGGGTTTGGGGTTTAGGGTTCAGGGATTCGGGTTTAGGGATTGGGGTTCAGGGATTAGGGTTTAGGGATTGGGGTTTAGGGATGGGTCTAGGGTTTGGGGTTTAGGGTTCAGGGATTTTGGGTTTAGGGATTAGGGTTTTGGGGTTTAGGGATGCGGGTTTGGGGTTTAGGGTTCAGGGTTTAGGGTTTAGGGTTCAGGGTTTAGGGTTTGGGGTAACGTAAGGATTACGGTTTAGGATTACAAGAGGGTCCGTCCATAGATACGGTTTTCAGACTATTGGGATGGTCTTTTGCGGCCTAATGCCATAATGGTAGTGTACCCTCTGGGATTGCCAGACGTTGTTTTGTGTCTAAGGGGCCTTTAGGTAGGGACCCATTATGAACCCCAGCCGCGTTCGAAACAGCACGAAGATGGAAAGCCGAATGAACAACTCGTAACCCTCAGCCGTACTAAACCCCCAATCCTAGACCTCTAAACTCTAAACCCTAAACCCTAAACCCTCCCTAAACCCTAAAACCCTAAAACCCTAAAGCTGTAAACCAATCTCCTTTAGTCTCTACTGCAGAGGTCTGAAGAAGCTTTTTAAGGTGTGCTTTAAGTGTTAACGTGCCCCTTCTTCTGCCAGGACGTTCTTGATGATGCCTTGGCAGCCGTGCTCTCAAAGAGGCCCCACACCGGAAGCCCTAAACCCTCTAGAGTCTGTAGCTAATTCCCGCCGTTTCGACGCAAAAGCCCACAAGTCCCTACATAGGGACTACTTTAAGTTGCCAAAGTACCTACTACTGTTGGTGATATAAATCCTGCATGACCTTAAGGACCCTAAACTGTGGGAATTATGGTCTAATTAGTCCTTATTAATGCAGGATTTATATGGGTGGTTGTCAAAATTATGGTCCCTTTTTGGGTCCTTATTTTAATACGGCACCTATTATTTAGGGTACCCCAAAAGGGACCATAATTTTGACAACTACCCATATCATCAGCCGTAGTTGGGTATATGGACCCTCAGCCCCTAAACCCCCCCCTAAACCGCAAGCTCGATGCAGTTCGCTCCCTAAACCCTAACTAACCCTAAACCCTAAACCCTAAACCCTAAACCCTAAACCCTAAACCCTAAACCCTAAATCCCTAAATCCCTAAACCTCTAAACCCCTAAACCCGAAGCAGTTCGCTGCCAGCGGACGCGCGCTTCACCTTTGACCAGCTGCTCACGGCCCTGAGGCGAGGGGCCTTAGTAATTAGGATAGTGTTTTGGGGGGTTTGGGTTCAGGGTTTAGGGTTTAGGGGCTTAGGGGGTAATTAGAATAGTGTTTTGGGGGGTTCCTTTAAAGGGCCTTAAAGGGCTCCATAACCGGCCGTGGAGCCTTCGGGATTCGTGGGTTTAGGGCTTTGGGGCTTCGGGTTTAGGGGTTTAGGGTTTTTGGTTTAGGGGTTTAGGGTTTCGGGTTTAGGGCTTCGGTTTAGGGTTTAGGAGTTTAGGGGTTTAGGGTTTTCGGGATTTATGGGTTTAGGGTTTAGGGCTTCGGGTTTAGGGTTTACGCTTGATGTTTTTTGGTTGATAAGGCCTTGCAAAGTCTCACACGGGTTTTACAGGTTTTCACAGGCGCTGTGATAGGGCAATCAATATAAATACATATATATATATATATGTATATAATGTGTTTATATAATATATATATATATGCATACTTTTTTATGTTATGTGCATAGATATACAGGCATATATATATATATATGTGTGTGTATACATATGTATGTATGGAGAGCACCCTTCGAAACCTTATTCTAACCGTCAGAATCCTTTTAATCAACAAACCGAAGCCCTTAACCCTAATCCCAAACCCTAAACTTTAATCCTTAAATCCTAATTCCGAAGCCCCTGACAGGATCCTAAAGAAGGACAAGGACAACATCGGCGCTGCAGCGCAGCTGTGCTCGGAATATCTGAGTTTAGGCGTGTAGAGCCTAGGGTTTAGGGGTTTTGTTTTCAGTGATGGTGCTAGTATTGAGAATGCAGGGGGTCCTCATTTTTGTTTGTTATTTTTTGGGATTTACAGTTGATGGCCTCGGGTTTGTGCCAGTGCAGACAGAAGCTTGAGAATCATGTGTCAAGTTCGACACCAAGTCTACATTTTAAGCGGCGACTCGTGAAAGGGGTAAAGATACCACAACATTCAAGCGAAGGTTTTACAAACTATCTACCTACCCGCCTACCAATGTATGTATATTTCTAGCAAAAAGTTCCTACAAAAGAACTTCCGCGTGGCTGAGAGGGATGTGGGTTGTTTCATGTTCATCAGAAAGGTGAGCGACGCTGGAATTTAGAGGCCTCCCGCGAGTCGTCTACTCTGTGAGCTAAACCCGCAAAGAATTCTGTAAAACCCGTCATACTTGCATAAGTCCCCCCCAAAAAATCTGTAAAACCCGTCATACTTCCGATGAAGCCCCTTACCTTCTAGACCCTAACGAAAGCGCAACACGTACAAAACCGGAAACCCTGGTCCCCCATGCCCTGAACACCGGTTTAGGGTTAGGGAATCCTGAACCCTGATCCGTAAGCCTTAAACCCTAAACCCGAAACCTCGATCCTATGGTTTCTTAGAGCTTAGGGAGCTTGAACCTACGAGTGAAAATTAGCTAGATGTATGATACTTATACCGAGATATAGGTTTATAAATGATACACAGATATGTCGGTTCATGTATGTATGTATGTATGTATGTATGTATGTATGTATGTACGTATGCATGCATGTATGTGTGTGTAGATGAAACACAGATGCTGATATAGACAGATACTTGATATGTTTATGTACCTGCATAAATCTATACATATCTATATGGGTATGTATGTGTGTATGTATATGTATACGTATACGTATACGTATACGTATACGTATATGTATATGTATATGTATATGTATATGTATATGTATATGTATATGTATATGTAAGTAAGCAAATAAGTAAGTATAAGTAAGTAAGCAAGTAAAAAGTAAGTAAGTAAGTAAGTAAGCAAGCAAGTAAGTATGTGTTTATGTATAGGTATACTACATGTATATGGACATACGCATACGTAGGTATACAAGTTTACAGATATACCGATCTACACACATACATATGTATATATTATGTATACATACATACATACATACATACATACATACATGCATACATACGTACATACATACATACATACATACATACATACATACGTACAAATGTATATATATATAAATATATATACATATAGAGAGAGAGAGAGAGAGAGAGAGAGAAAGAGCGAGAGAGAGAGAGAGAGAGAGAGCCCTAATCTGGAAACTGCCTTGGGGCCCTCTTTCCCCAGGCTGGCGGAAGCTTTGCTTGGGGTCTCCACCGAGGATGGGCTTGACATGGGCCGCCTCCAGGAGGTCCATGGTTTCCATTTAGTAGTTCTTCGGGGTTTAGGATGGGGGGTTTAGGGTTTTGGGGTTTAAGAACTAGTTTAGGGTGTTTTCCCTAAGGGTCCATGTGCCCAAATTGCTTTGTACTTTGGGCCCAAGGTACCTATGTAGGGACTACTTTAAGGCCAAAGTATCTACTATTTGGGCACATGAACCCCTAGGGTCTGGATTTTGGGATTTAGGATGTAGGGCTTTGGGGGTTTGAGGCTTTATACGGCTTAGACTACTCTAGTACTTCAATGTAGCACTGCACCACTGTAGGACCAGTGCTAAGTCTCCGACCAGTACCAGATACCTGTTGTCAAGTGTATACTCGGGTTTACCGTCGGTAAGACAGTATATAGCAACCTGATGTGGAGATCCTAATAGGCTTCGTTTGATGGATCCGTTTCGGATTTGCGATGTCGGGAGTCGGCAGCAGTCACGGTTGAGGGTTTAGGGTTTAGGGTTTAGGGTTGACGGGATCTTGGTATCTCGGAACTTGTACGCATAGGTCGTTAGGGGTTCAGGGCAGTTTTGGGTTTTGGCCAGGGCTGGGGTTTCGGGTCACTTTAGGTTTCCGGGTTTAGGGCTTACCTGTGGCCCCCAAAACCTTACCGTATCATGGCTTCTATGTAAAATCCCTAAACCCTAAACCCTGAAGCCTCTGGGAAGGTCGTTTGCGAGGGGAAGCATCCTGCGCTCTCCCTGCAAGAGCTGGGCGACGTGCCGCGAGCTCGGGAATATTTGCTGGGTTTCCCTAGGGGTCATGTTTTTTTTTGTATTGTCATAAGCCCTATAGTTACGAAGCATGTGTTTTTTTTGATGGTTTAGTGGGCTGATCGATTGGGGTGTGGTGTCTCATCAAGGTCGCAAGGATTTGAACAACTCTGTTCAGAAGACCCTGAAGCCGAAACCCTTAACCCCAAACGCCTGAGGCCCTCAAGCCCTAAGCCATTAAGCCCTGAGCCCTAAACGCCTAAACCCCTCAAGCCCTGAACCCTTAAAGCCTGAACCCTAAACCCCCAAACCCTTAAACACACCCAAAACCCTCAAGTCCTAAACCCTTGAACCCTGAACCCTAAGCCCCTAGCGCCTTCGAGCCCTTTGACTGGAATCCTAAAACCCTCAAGCCCCAAACACTTAATCCATCAACCCTAAAACCCTAAGCCCTGCAGCCCTAAAGCCCTAAGCCCTCAAACCCTGAACCCCTGAAGCCCTAAAGCCTTAAAACCTTAAGCCTGAACCCGGAACCCCAAACCCCTGAAAAGACTGCGATGCAGGGAATCTAGGTTAGTTCTACCATAACCTACGCTTTTGTAGGTTAGTCTTATGATGAACATTAATATGTAATTAATGGGACCCCTAGAATAAAGTTGGCTTTGCGAAGGTTAAGGTATTTCTGTGCCTCGTGAATATCGAGCAACCGTTTAGGGTCCAAGGTTTAGGGTTTACCAGGTTCGAAATAGCCCTATAACCTTAAACCCCGGAACCCTAAACCCCTAAAGCCCTCAAGCCCTAACCTTAATCCCTAAACCCTAAGACCCCCCTGGGCCCTAAAGCGGGGTTTAGGGCGAATAAACGATGCCAACAAAGCTGAAAGCCACAAGCCTCAGACCTTAAGGATCGCTAGGGTTTATAAAGTTTAGGGGTTTAGGGGTTCAGGGGTTTAGGGGTTTAGGGATTTAGGGTGCAGGGGTTCAGGGTTTCGGGGTTTAGGGTTTGGTTTAGGGGTTCAGGGGTTCAGGGTTTCGAGGTATAGGGTTTGGTTTAGGGGTTTCGGGGTTTCAAGCTACGGGCTCCATGGGGTGTAGATAACCTAGTAATTTCTAATTCTTGCTAGTAGTCGATAAGGTTACCCATAGGCCGCCATAGGCCCAATAGTAGTTCCTGTTTGGGATTACCTTATAGGATTCTAAATATGAGCACCAAAAAGGAACTACTATGCGGCCTATGAGTAACCTAGTAATCTCTCATTCTGCCTAGTACTCCCTAAGGTTAGGGGTTGTAGGGGCTTGGAGACTTGGATTTCGAGGTTTCAATAGCATTTCAAGGACAAGTGATCGTAGCAGCGGAGTTGTAGGCAACCTAAATGGATACTTATGGCCCGGATATAGAAGCCAATGCTCTTATTTCTTAGGCATCCTCATTGTCGTATAGCAGCCACGTCTGCACCCTCTTGTTTTTTTGTTGTGTGTGTGTGTGTGTGTGCGTGTTCTGATTTCGGGGTCCAGGTTGGAAGCCGTGGGAATCTACGATGAGGACCTCCCGGCTTGGGATTGAGGGTTTAGCTGAACCCTAAACCCTGAAAACCTAAACCCTAGACCCTAAACCTTAAACCCTAAACCCTAAACCCCAAACCCTAAACCCTAAACCTTAAACCTGTGCGTGTTTTCTGCTGTTTTTGGCAAGGGAGGTTTTGAGGGTTTAAGGTTTCGAGTTTGGGGTTTTGGACTTTACGATCGGGGACTTCAAGCCCGACTTCAAGGGGTTTAGGATGGTTTAGGGTTTAGGGTTTAGGGTTTAGGATTCCTAAACTCCAGGACGTCTAAACTCTAAACCCCTAAAGCCTTAAATCACTACCCTTACTTCTCAACCCGAAACCCTAAACCCTAAAGGGTTTAGGGTGCAGGGTGTAGGTCTCAGGTTATGTGGTTTTGTAAGTGCTTTATCAGTATTCCGCAGGGTGTGAAAGGGGCTTTTCGGTGCTATGCGGGCTTTAACGAGGGTGTTGGAGGTTCAGTCAGTTCAGTTCGCAGCTCCGAATTTTGGGACTTGGGCGCCTGATGTTGGCAAATCGCCCGGCCGGCTTCGGGATGATGAGTTCGACACCAATCGGCGAGAAGGTCAACCATAGTATGAAGCAGAAGGACAATGCAGAAGGTTTCGGAACCATTCCCTAGAAGGCCTGTTTTCCAGAGTTCGGCGATTTTTGTGCCAGAACTATGTACGTCAGAATGCCTTCGTGCAAGAATTATGGATTGCTGCTTGGGGAGTACTGCTGGCGTCTTGGGGGAACAGACCCTGCCCTCCAGGCAATGGCCCAAAGCAGCTTTCTGGCGTTTAGCGACCATAAACCCTAAACGCTTAAACTCCTACACCCTAAACCCTAAGCCCAAAGCCCTAAACCCTAAAGCCTTAAACTTCCTAAACCCTAAACCCCAAGCCCTGAACCCTAAGCTTTCAGGCTGGGTCTATGGCGGGAGCAGGAAATAGCCCAGCGAACCCTACAGTCAGTTTGACTGGTGCGCGCCTAGGGTTTATAGGGTTCAAAACAGCTCGGGTCAACCCAAACCCTTCCGTTCAACAACTGGTTGAGGGTCTAGGGTGTAGGGTTTAGGGCTTAGGGTCTAGGGTTTAGGGTTTAGGGTTTATAAGGTCTACAGGTTCTAGCCGACTTTTGGACTTTTGCTTTGAGCGCCGTTTTGCTACTAACATGTCGAGCGGCGCCACCTGCGAAGAACAGGTTCAGGGTTTTGAGGTTGGAATACTGTGGGTGCCTGAAGAACTACCTATATCATTTTGGGAGTTCCTTATTGTAATTATAATATACTATACCCCAAAACCCTATTCCAATTATTAAGGCCCCTATATTACCAGCCTTGGGTCCAGAGCCCCGGGCCTTACGCCCCAACACGTCAAGTTTAGGTTTCGGCTCACGGGATTGAGGAGTCTAGCCCTTAAGCCTTAACCTTGAAAAGCCTGAACCAGCCGCACTAGAGCCTACCACACCTAATCTGAACCCCTAGGCCCTAAACCCTAAACACCAAACAAAAACGCTAAACCCTGAACCCTAAACCCTAAACACCTATAACAAAATCCCACACCCTAAACACTTCAACAAAAGCCCTAGACTTGAAGTTCTAATAAGGGGACACTGGGGAACCTAGCCCACACATGCCAGGAGCAGTCGCCTGAGGAGTTGGCCGCGAGGATTCTCCAAGAGGTGCCGCTGAGTTCCCCTGCGCTATCGGATTTAGCAGCTTTAGGGGTTTAGGGTTTGGGGTTTAGGGTTTGGGTTTTAGGTTTTGGGGTTTATTAGGGTTTAGGGTTTAGGGTTTATGGGGTTTAGGGTTTAGGGTTTATGGGGCTTAGGGTTTAGCGTTTATGGGGTTTAGGGTTTACGGGCTCTAAGCCGTACACCTTATACCCCTAAACCCTAAACCTATGCGTAGCTCAGGTTTTAGGGTTAGTCTACGATCTCAAGGTTCGGGGTTAAGGGTAGTTTATAATTTAACGGCTTTAGGTTTGGGGTTCCTGACTGCAAACTAAATTTTGGTTAGCAGGGAGGCCGTGAAATTTTTAGGGAAGCCTGAATTAAAGTCGATGAGGGGTCTGGCCCGTTCTTTTTAGGGTGTTTGGGTTCGGCATTTGGCGTTGGTTTTCACCCGTACCAGCAGGGCCACTGGGCTTCTTCTATATAGCCTCTATACTCTGGACTCTAAACCTTAACTGCGCAATAGGGTTCATAGGGGAAGCGCGTAGAGCCTTTCGACCTCCGAAGAGCCTCTTTAAACCCTAAACCCTAAA